ATTATATAAAATTATATATAAAATAATTTTATATAAAAATATTTTCCCGGATATGTATTTATTGAGAACATAAGCAAGAAAAAATTTATATATATCGTACACTTTTTTCCGACAAACGTTAAAATCAGAAGTAAATATAGACAATAATAACGGTTATGATCGATTTTGAGCTAAATACATGATGATAAATAAATAGGATGACAAGTATAATGCTTAATATTCAATTTCACTTCCGCGATTCACTTCTCGCAAACATAGCGCACTGAGTGTACTCAGGCAAGTAACAAAACACTACTGAACGACGAGTTATTACTGCTATTGACGGGAAGACTCCGATTGCACACATTGCATTGTTATACACATGCATTGTTAATTGGCCAATTAAAAAATAAAATATTCTCATTGGTAAAGCAGAGAAAAATTATTAGGCACCAGTTAATGAGTGGTGTGTGCAATTGAGATTGTAGGCAAATGGGATCATCCTCCTCCTGCCGTTGACGGTATTAAAAAAAAGCAATTTATCGTAGTAGAAATTTACGCATGTATATAGTAATACCCCGAGTAGAAATTAAATCGGGAATACCTCTATTTGCATCCTCTTTTCCTAATCGGAAAAGAGTAGGGTATGCCATAATACGAAATTCTTGATACTTGCCTGAAAAGGGAAAAAGTATTGCTAACGAATGTTAGTTAACACGTGCATTATCATAATTCTCAGGCTTCTCTCTGATATCAAAATCATATTTCGAGTAATCGCCATACAAAAAAAATATCTCGCATATCTTTTGTTAGTAACAAAATTTTTTTACGTAATTTTGTCTATTTTATCACAATAAAATTTTTTTTTTAATTAAAATTCAAACAATTTTCATCAGAGATATGATTTTTCAAGTATCGTGTTAGGAAAGTTTAGAATTTAATTTCTCACATGAAGCATGCAATCATCACAGTAATATTGCAACATATCAGAAATATTACATATTATATCACAGAATTACTGATACATGTTGATAATCAATATTGAAATATCATAGAAATTAATGTAATAAAGTGCTATGAAAACAAATACGAAATATGCCAAAAGATCGAATCGTGTGGCGAGCATGAAGCACCAAAGTGTCATGTATAATTAGGCAAGTCGGTGCTCGGGTGGCGGTATCTTAAGTATCTTCCACCGTGGATAAGTGTATGCTGTTGGCTTTGACGGACGCATTATATCGCTTAATTAGTTCTACTATGATCTCTTTTATGAAATCATTAAGCGCGCATGTTTCTTATCGGATGTTTTAAGTCATCGTTATCTCATTGCAATTGTTACAAATTAGTTAGTCTCTTATACTTACTCTATTATTCATAATCATATTTCCGATATGGAAAATGATGCGACTGAAATCCATTAAGAATTGTTGTTAGCGCCGAATTGTTGAGGAAAAGCGTGAGAGGCAAGAGAAATTATATGCCTTTTGGAATGAAACGATCCCGATGGATATGTAATAATTCAACATAAATGGATGCGACAAATTTCTGGTGACTCGTGCAGGTCGGGGGAGCGATTAAAAATAAACAACAATAAGACGAAATATTCACTAAACAAGCAACATGCATAAACAATACAAGAAAATGATAATAAACATACAGTACATTAGCAAGTATTATAATAATGTCTAGATTAGGTAGACAAATTAAACAATAGCAGATTCAAGGCAATAAATCATTGGCATTTATACAAATTCGAATCTTGTTACAATCACACAGTTGAATACAATCTCTCGCTCGCTTTCGACGATTATATAAATAGAAAAAAATGTGCGCGTATAGTCGACGCTTCTCTGATCACTAAGCCGAACACAGATAAACGAAGGAAGAGAAACGATTTTTTCTAAGAATTTCGATATTTAAAGAAAGTAAAGAAAGGAACAGAAAGGAACAGAAAAGAACAAGCAAATGAACAAAGCAAATGGATTTGCTCTCTTGCGCTTTCTCGTATCACAACGGGAGACGTTGTGAAGCTAATGGAACAATTCCACAAACAATTTCACAAATTATAACTTACAATATGAGAGCATCTGAGAATGAATTGACGATCATCACTTGTCCAAATAGTATCGTAAAATAAAACTGTAAAATCGTTAACACTATCTTGAATTTTGCAAATTATTAGCGTCGTCTGATGCGCGAGAAATTCTCTGGTTCCTAACAAAACAGCCACTTGACTTGATTTTCGTACGTCGCAATTTACTCGAAACAAAATTTCGCAACATTTTAATTAATCAAAATTATAGATTAAATTCAATTATAGATAAAATTCGCATACGTACATACACACACATTCACAACGAAGTCACTCGTTCCATTCGCAAAGTCTATATGATACGTTCCATCCTTAAATCTCTACAATTGGCTTTTACGAGAAGGAATTCACATGCAATATTAAAAGTTGAAGTCACTCTTTTCTTCAGCTTATCTCATACCGATTAGTGATGTCGCTTACATATCTAAGTGTGACGATATAATAAAGATGACTCCCTCCTCTCCTGTTTCTATGCAAATCAAACAAAAAACAACAATGACATTTCGTTTACGATTTATAATAATAACATACACGCTATATAACTACGACAGCCTATTTAAACGATATTTAGCCATATTATATGAGACTTACGCGGAAACATCCAGCATTTCCTTTAGTCTTAGCACTTCCGATCGCGTCACTTCGAAAAAAAAAATC